TTTGGTCGGTCATGGGGCCTGAACTCTGGGCCTGGGCGCTGTCCCTGCGCTCTTCAGCTCAAGGCGAGTGCTCTACCACTTAAGCCACAGCGCCACTTCCGGTTTTCGAGTGGTTTATTGGAGATGAGTCTCACAGACTTTCCTGCCTGGGCTGGCTTTGAACCGAGATCCTGAGATCTCAGCCTCCTGAGTAGCTAGGATTACAGGCGTGAGCCACCGGTACCCACCTACAGGCCTAGAACATTTTATATAATAAGATACATTAGTGTAGTATTAGTACATAATGTTAACACCAATTATATACTTGTCATTAATATGTTCATTATGTTGTATTGGATATATTTTGTTTATATAATAAAAAAATATTCCTCTCACTAGGTAACTTAAGAAATAAAATCTTATCTGCATCTTATAGAATTAGGATATAATGCCAAAGCTAGCCAAGCATGGCAGTGATGTCTGTAATTAATCATACCACTTGGCAGGCAGCAGGAGGGAGAGTTCAAGACCAGCCTGGGCTTTGTAGTAAGAGCCTGTCTCAATGGCTCTATCTCCTGGCCCCAATTAAAAGAAAAGGAAGGGGGGAGAGAAGGAGGGAGGGAGGCATGGAGGGAGGGGTGAAGTAGAACAGGCATCCGTTTCAAGCGGTACTGGTGTGTTCCTGCAGAGAGTCCTCCAGCATCTACATCAGCAAGTACCTGATGGACGAGGGCGCCCATCTCCACATCTATGACCCCAAAGTGCCCCGCGAGCAGATCGTAGTGGATCTCTCCCATCCCGGCGTCTCCCAGGACGACCAAGGTGAGGCTGGGGGTAACCTTGAGAGTCATTTTGTGCACAGACTGCCACAGTTCTCTAGAAAGGTCTGGCTGTTCCATCTTCAGCATTTCTATCACTGCACTGTCCTCTGCTCAACTTCATTTCTCTCAAATTCAACTCAGAGACATGCTGTCCTCAACTTGAAGCCGTCAGCGGTGGGGGCAGTGCCTGAGCACTGTTCCTAAGCCTTTTTTTTTGCTCAAGCCTGTAGTGTTCTAGCACTTGAGCCACACCTCCACTTCCAGCAGTCCAGAGTCTCTCTCACAGACTTTCCCGCCTGGGCTGGCTTCCACCTGCAATCCTCAGATCTCAGCCTCCTGATTAGCTAGGATTACAGGCGTGAGCCACCAGCAGCCTGGCAAGTCCAGCCACTTTGGTGGGGGCTGGGATGTAGCTCCCTGTTTCCCTCTCCCCATTGACTGACTTCAAACGCACGGCTCCACCTGTCAGGCACTCAGAACTTTACAACCCTGATGCTGAATACCTAATTCAAGTGAACTTTCTTGTTGCTGTTGTTCCAGTGGCCCAACTTGTGACCATTTCCAAGGATCCATATGAAGCGTGTGATGGCGCCCATGCTGTTGTCATTTGCACTGAGTGGGACATGTTTAAGGTGAGGTGACAGAGATGACAGAATTATCTTCTAGAGGCATTCTAGTATCGGGTTGTCTTCATGCGTATGTTTCATTGCTCCTTTGGTGTCTTTACAGGAACTGGATTATGAACGAATTCATAAGAGAATGCTGAAGCCAGCCTTCATCTTTGATGGGCGGCGTGTGCTGGATGGGCTCCACAGCGAGCTGCAGACCATTGGCTTCCAGGTAATCAGCATCTTGAAGTTACCCTGTGATGTCACTGTTGGCTGTTATTATTGCCAGCTCAGCCAAGGTGTCCGTTCTAGCTTTCCGAGGGTCTGGGCATGGGGTGGGGGTGGCTATGGTGATGGAGGAAATACTCAGCCTTCGGAGCTGTGCTCGTGTGTCCCCTCCGCCCCCCCCCCTTCCCAATGTGGGGAAAAATCTACCCTCCACATCCCCAAATGCCTGAAGAAATGAAGGGGCCTTGGGTGACCACCTGCTGTTCCAGCCACACCCTGGAGATGCTCAGTGATGTGAGAAGTCGGAAATAAGAGCATGGCGCTTCAGTGAGCCCGGCCTGTTCTCATTTGTCAATCATGGAGTCTTTAAGACCACACAAGTCTCAGCCGGAGCAGAGCATTGGTGTCCTGCAATATTCTCAGTCCTACCAGGACTTGCACAAATAGGAATAAGCAGTTGCTTCCCACTTTGTCAGGGCAGGCTCCTGTGGAGCAGAGGGGTCCGGTTAGGGAGGATGAGTGAGTGTGGCAGGAGATTGCTGTCACCATGGTGCCCACCCCAGGTAGAGAGCAGGCACCATCCAATAGCTGGCCGATGCATCTCCATGCACTGCCTTGCTTGAAGGAGGTCCAGTTAGGCTTTATCTGCTACTCAGAAATACCACATGTGCTTCTCCCAGCCCTGCACAGGCTTGCGTAAGGTCCTTCCTCTCCTGATCCAGAGCTCTCTCTCATTCATGAGTCACATACGTGTCTGCTGAGTGTCCCACAGACTTCGGCGACTCACCATAACCCACCCCTCTGAGTCACAGCATGATTTTCCCCGTTATGACTTAAATTCTGGAATTTAAGTCTTTCTATGATGTAAGATATCTTTTCCCTAGTTGCTTGAATTTCTCTTCTGGGGGAACAAGTTGTCCAGAGGAAACAGTCAAAGGATTTTGAGAAGCTGGGTGTGGTGGGTCAGGCTCGTCATCCCAGTCTCTCGGGAAGATGAAGGCAGGACGAGTGAGAAACGGAGGAGGCCCAGCCGTGGCAAAGTTAGTGAGACTCTATCTCAAAAAACAAAACAGGCTGGGAAGGTGGCTTAGTGGTAGAATGCTTGCCTTGCATGCATGAGGCCCTGGGTTTGATTCCTCAGCACCACATGAGCAGAAAAAGCCGGAAGTGGCGCTGTGGCTCAAGTGGTAGAGCACTAGCCTTGAGCTGAAGAGCTGAGGGGCAGCGCCCAGGCCCAGAGTTCAGGCACCACGACCGGCAAAAAAAAAAAAAAAAAGAGAGACAAAAAACAAAACAAGAGCTGGAGACATAGTTCAAATGTCTAGACAAACACTGAGTACCACAGCATTGAACAAAAAGTTTTTCTTTGTGACTAGTTAGAATAGTTAACTTTCCCTACTAGGTTTAGAAATCAGCCAGGCTAGATTCACTACAGTGTGTTATCACTAGATAAGACAATGAGCTAACATAAAGCAGAAGCCCCTTCTTTGTTTTTGAGTCAGAATTGAATAATTTCTAGTTAAAAAAAAATAAAACAATTCTGCTTTCGAAGGGAGATAAACTCACCATTACAAACCAACTAGAGTCCTTTTAAAAAATTAAGACCAATGGGCTGGGAAGGTGGCTCAGTGGTAGAGCGCTTGCCTTGCAT